GGTCCCCGGATAGTGAAATACTTCATGATTTTTGAACAGCTGCCCTCATCCTTACACGTGTGACCAAACCCATACAATACAACACCGACACTGAGCCCGGGGGTGAGCTATGGCTCCTGAGAGTGTCAGCCCCGGTACACACTCATCAGTTAGGTCAAGTGTGCCGCCTGCTGAAGGACACTGATAACGGGTGCATGTGTGAGTGGGACCATGTGCAGGTGTGTGTCTGTGTGTGTAGGGTACAAATGTGCACTCATGCTCTCTCGTGCAGAGACTAGAGCAGACATCAAGGGTTTTCTCTCTTTGGCAAAGTCTGACACTGAATTGGAAGCTTGGCATTTTATCCAAACAGTCAGCAAGCTCCTAGGAGCCACCTGTCTATGCCCCCTCCCCCCTTGCTGGACTGCAGGCATGTGCAGCCATGCCTGGCTTTTTACGTGGGTGCTGGAGATTTGAACTCAGGTCCTCATGCTTGCAGAGTAAACACTCTCACCCACTGAGCCATTTCCTCAGCCTCTAAACTGCTTGTTAAAAATAAATAAATAAATAAATAAATAAATAAATAAATAAATAAATAGCCTTTACAAAGTAGACAAGAGAGTGTCACTGGAAGGCAGCTCTCCCCTGGGGATCTGAACGACGAGTTAGGCCACTGGACCACCTGAGCTAAATGGTGTCTCAGGACAGAGCCCCTCCACTGCCTTTCACCTTGGAGTGGCTATATCAGACATCTCTTTTCTTCCTGGGGCTTTAGAACAGAAGTGATTTTCTGCTCTGTGCCATCCCATCCATTCTCTTAACTGATTTCATCACCATGGCAATGAGGCAAGGTCCATGTTCTCTTGCGTCTGCAATCGCATCCTCCCCGGGCTACTTCGGAACTGTGCATGGTATGTCTGCTTAGGACCATGAAGGAATGGCTTCCCCAAATGGGGAAATAGAGAAGATAAGCAAAGTAGTAAGAAGTTTAAGCTGCCTCCAGACTGAGAGGACATTCTGGATGACATGATGGTACATGGCTGGGCAACCTGTAGCCAACTGCTCTACTTCAAGGAGAACAGTTGGTTAGCTCTCGCTGAGGGCATACCACATCGGTTCCCCCCTTCTTCCTTAGCAACAAGACCGGGATTTTATTCATGGGCACGATGTATCAGCCAAAAGCACGTTTCCCTTTCTCTTGAGGGCAGATATGGTCACCAAGAGTAAAGTGGGCAGAGTGTGTGCCGCTTTTTCTCCACCGAACAGCTTCCAGTTGGAGCTTAGTGGACAGCATGGCCAATTACGTCACAGAGAGCAGATGTCTTGGGAAGTGACAGAGTGGACGCCACATGGTACGTACTGTTGAGCTGAAGGAAGAGGACCGTTTTCTACTGAGCGGCTGCTGCGGCCTTTCTTGCCAACTTGGACACCTGTTTCTAGAGCCAATCAATCTCCCTGCCCTGCCCTGCCTTGGCCTTGCCCCTGCCCCTTCATGACTTTCCTACCTCAAGTCCCGAGTACCAGGATTACAGTAATGTGCTGCCAGAACGCTTTTAACGGTAGGAGAACTAAACTCCCACCTTGTTTAAGCCGAACACAGTTTCTCACAGGAAGACCTATCTCAGCCTTACATGTGACTCACTTCAAGGTTAACCCCAACATTTGCAGTGCTCAGGCCAAGAGGATAGTGTAGCCCCTAGTCTGGCTCGCACCCTCCTCTTCCCACACCCAGCTCTGCCCATCTCGTGGCTCTCCAGCCTTAAATGTGCTGCCACGTAGCCACCCTTCAGGCCTGGGAAGCACAGAGGTCTTAAGGATACTGGTGTAGGCTCTGGAATGGGCCCAGCCCACCGGAACAGGGGATTCTAAGACCCTAGGAATCCAAGGATACTGCAGAAGGTCCTTGTGGCCCTGTAATCTACTCAGCCTCCATGAAGAACACTTCTTTCAGGCACAAGGCCTGTCTTCCTCTGTTAACAGCATCAAGGAAAGGCCCTTAAGCCTGGCCCTCAGCCAAGCTTCACTTTTGGTTGGCTGTTGTTAGGATGGTTAAGCAGAGGTTTGGCCACTGCTGAATTGCAAACTCCATGTGAAAGGAATGAAGCAGGTCCTTCAGGTGCTCTGTCTCAATCACACCCTTGGGAAAATCTCCAACAGGCTCTTAGCTGGATATATGTATGAACTTCACACCGGGAAGGGCAGTAAAGCAGGTGCAGAGACGAACAAGCAACCTGTAAGGGGTATCCCTGGGGAGGCCCTGGACCATGCTCCCAAGGCACATTCCTCTGCTGGCCAGGAAGCCTGCCACTCAGCCTGGATAACAAGGACCGAGCCCGGGTCCTACCCTGTAGCTCACCCCCAACATGTAATGACAATTCCTGTACAGAACCATACCTGCCTGGCACGACTGGGAAAACCAATTCCCTGAGCATGAGAAAACCCGAACTTTGGCACAGTCTTGCATCTTGGATGTTCCTTTAGTTCAGTGACTCTGAGGCTTGTTTGAGATCATGGGTTCTCTGTGTTCCCTCAGAATGCTTGCGCACAGTGCTGTTGTATCTTTGAAACAGTCAAGTATGACTGAAAGAATACTGAGCGAATGAATAATTGGAGCTGCAGGGACTTTAAGCCCCTGCTTGCTACTCACATCTATTGTTTTCTATACTGTGTGTGTGTTTAATTATTCCATGATGCTGCTTTTGAAGTCTTAAAAACCTTTCTGGCTTGCATAATCTCTATCCTGACCACTTCCTCACTGATCTTGGCTCAAAGACCAATTCCTCCCATGAGGCCTTCAATCGGCCCCACCCCTCAGCCTTGCAGTGAGAGTTAGTTGCTGGTCCTCTGTGCCCCCTCAGAGGACCTGTGTTATAGCATCTCTCACTCTTTTTAGGTTCCCTGCCCTTCTGCACATCTGGGAAGACGGAAGCTAATCTTTAGGACCATCCCAGCAGAAACTCAAAGAGCCCTGTGGAAAGATGATCTGAGTGGGTGGGTTCTGATAGCTGTGCCCCCTTTGGTGGCCTCTAGCCCGGTGATGGAAGAGACATTTCCAGATAATGATCCAGGGAACTTGCCAAAATAGTCTTTGGTTCTTCAGTGTGCATTTGGGGTAATGTGCAGCTACCGGAACACACACCATGAACCAGACTCCAGCATTTCTAAGAGGAAGGCCTGGGAGCTCTCCCACTCTGATGGTCTAAGAAACCCAGACCATTAGTACACGGTCTCCGGTCTCATTAACAAAACAGAGAAGCATCTTTGCCTTCTCATCTGGGCTCTTGACATCAATCCACGGGCTGACTGTCCCAAAGCATTACTAATTGTATAGCAACATCATTTATATCGTAGAATTGGAAGTGACACACCTATCTAACCACACCGTTGGTTAAATAAGCTCTGACACACTCGACTGAAGAGTTCGCCTGAAGGCTTTGACAACAGTGTCTATAATATAATCTGAAGTCAAAGGCAAGACATAAAATCACATATGCAGCATGACTGCCATCACACCAGATACATCAAATATATGCCAGAACATGGAGACAGCAGGGCATTAATAGTGACAGTGTTTACGCATTAGGACCTGCTTTCGCTAATGATCTCTATCCCTCTCTCTCTTCCCTCCTCCCTTTTCTTTCTTAGAAATCTGTTCAATCTCAGGATTAAACCATGCTCATGCGTGCTGGATAGCTATAGTCCCAGCTAAGCTGTATCTCTGGCTCCGTGACTCTTAATATTTACTTTCATGGTAAAAACTCAAAATCAGGAAATCGCTTCACTGCTAATTGAGACCACTGTGTTCTTTTCGCTCTAAGACGTTTGGCATGTGGTACTGGGTATGTTGGCCGGAAAGAGCAAAGACCTTCCAGTAAAGCATCAGAAGCGGAGAGGAAGGCACAGTTGTGCATCCTGGCCATGCCACCATGCCTGATGTGCTGGGGCTCTGACTGCATGCGAGCCATTGCTCAGACTTGCAATGTATGCACTGCAGCTCCATGCACAGCTGTGTGGAGTAAGGATCACTGGTACCCTCCTTCACGATGAAAGGAGCCACTGGGAATCTGTTCACTGGCAAGTGGGAGCATGGCCAGGGCGGGGCCGTCTCCTCTGAGTCCAGCCACTTCCCCCTCCTCGGCTCAGGCGTGCATTCTGTGCCACAGTACCTTTTGTGTAAGGATCCTTGGGTTGGCCAAAGGCACGGCATCTGTTCCCAGGTTCAGCCTGAATGGCTGGATTCTGTACTGAAAGGTCCCCTGCTGAGTCCAGCCTGTCTGAGATGGTCCTGGGTAACCATTGAGTCCCCTGTGTTATTGTAAAGTAAGCCCTGAGCAAGGCAGGGCCCCAAAGTTGTCCTCGTCACACATAAATCCATTGCTTTAGGACCAACAGCCTGTTTCTAAAGCTCCTGGAGCGGCCAACATTGCAAACCTTGACTAACACAAACACAGTACAGTACAAAGCATTTGGCTAGGTGAAGGCTATTTTCTTCTTGTTGACCTCATTATGGGCAACGTTTCTTCATGTGCTTATTGAAAGTTTCACCTTGCAAATGGCAGTCAGCTAAACACACTGAGCTGACACATGGGTCTTTGAGGAACCCTGATATGTGGTCCCGTTTTCTCCACACAGTAACCTCTTGGTGCCATGTTTTAGTGGGGCAGAGGGAGGGCATTGAGAGACCTGACCAAGGCACCTGGAGAGAATCAGTCATGTTGGAGTCAAGTGTGTCATTATCTAAGGGTGGATACTTCCTCCTGATACCTCAGGGAAGCTCAGGCAGAAGAGAGGGGAAGCAGACAAATCCCATGAAGTCGGCCTTGCAACTCAAGTCAGAGGAAAGGACACCATGATAAATGGAAACCTAGGACATGGGAAACTTGAAATTCAGAACAAATGTGCCCCCCCGACCAGACTTAGACAAATTCTTAGATTAAGGCTTGGGAGGACTGTGATGGGAGCACCACAGCAGCACCCTGCTTTGCCTCCTCCGCTGGTTCCTTTGATCTCTATTCACACACTTTCTCTGGACCTGGACCATGGGGTCAGCAAGTGTATTATTGGTGACATCGAGCCTCCTGTCCTTCTCAATGACGTCTGGATGCTTGCGAACCAGCAGCCACCTGATGTGGGAGAAAAAGAAGCCACGGCGGGCATTGTGGGGGTTCACATCTGTCTCTGAGTCCTTGTGGTGGGCTCGACGCTCCCTGGCCCACGAGAAGATGTCGCTCTGCAGAGAGAAAACAGAGCATGAGTGGAGTGTCCACACATAGGATGCTTTCCGGGAAGTTCCAGCCTCTCACCCTGTTCCCATGGCTCCTGGCTCTGTTCACACTGTCCTTACACAGTCACTGAACATCCCATCTGTTGTTCTTAATAAAATCTCAATCTTTCGGTTTTACCAAAAAAGACTCGGTAGGCAGATGTTGGGGTAAAAGCCTGCTGCTCAGAGAGGCAAAGAAAACACCCAGCTGACCTTCCTCCTCAGCTAATGTCCCAAAACAAAGAAAAGTGCCTTCCCCATTCCCTCAAAGCCCCCAAACTCAGAGTCTCTCCCTTCTACTTCCTGTGTGTCTCTCTATCTATCCTCTTGACTTCCTCTTACTCTTTATGGGTTTTTTTTCCCCACGTACATTCCCTGTCAACTGGTTGCTTGCTCCGCCTCTTGACTTACGGTCGACTTTATTTAATCCTGTTTACATTATTCAAGCAGAAAGCTCTTAGATTAAAGGTGTGTGCTAGGGCTGAGCCATACCACAACTAGAAACAGTTTTGTTGTTGTTGTTCGTTTGTTTTTCAGTAAACAACACAATCTCAGGATTCATAGTTTTTTGAAATATACTGTAACATGTCCAACTCCTAAACATGGCCTAGGATAGTTTTTCACCAGCACAAGAAATCCTCATTCAGCAGGATGTAAGCTTGTGTTTGAGATCAGCTACTGAGGAAGCCTGGGTGTTTGGGTCTCACAGAAAGAGACTTGAAATACAAAGTGCTGGTAAGATTCTCAATCCCCAGGGAGCTATTTATACTGGGAAAAGAGATGTGGGTGAGGAGGAAGACTTGACTGTCAGGAGAGTGGAAGCCTAAAGTACGAAGGCATTTCTGCTCTCCTCCCAGACCATTTCCCTTCCTTCCTGACACTGATGACCTCCATAAGGTGCAATTTAGAAAGCACAGGAAAACAGGAAGTAAAAAACCCACCAAGCTGCATCTCCACGTCTCTAAAAAAAATGTCTCTATCTATAGATGGAGGCACATACGACTTTGTGTAAGGACTGCTCCAACCGAGTGTTACAGCCACTGAGGGGTGCAAGTTTGGCTCTGTGAGGAATCTGGTGTGTTGGGCAGTACCAGATAACTCCCCCTCTATTGTGAGAGTTTTGAGTTCTTAAAAGAAAAAGCCAATTATGCTATGTAAATATGTTTTTGTTTTAATCCCAGGTGTGGGATATGGGGCTGCTTCAGATTCTCCACAGCCATTAACTGTGATTGTCTCGTGCTCTAGCAGGGGTGTGACTTGTGCCAGCTGCAAATGGTTTCATTCTGAGAACTCGTGAGAGAGTATAAATGCCAGAGCCCCGAGAGGGCATGTGGTGGCTGCTGCTGCTGGTTCATCCTGCTGCTACGTTTGCAGTTGCTGGACTGCTGGACTGCTGGACTGCTGGATGGCTGGATATCCTGATCGTGAAGCTTGGACTTGCCCCAAGGAACTATGTCCCTAAACAGTAGGAAGTAGTCTAAAGAGACATGCGTTGCCCCTTTCCCTTCTAACTTCTTTCTCTCCTACCGAGTGTTGAGGTTGGAAGGGATTAGGGTGGGTAAGGGTGGCAAGGGAGGTAGAGGTGTAAGAACCTCAATGGAATAAGATTTTAAAAGTGCATGCCCAGACCCTGCTGTACCTAAGCAGCAGTGCACACCAGGGGAATGCCCTATTGAGCCTTTTGTCACGGGAGACAGCTGGGGGGCGTCCATGAGTGAGGTGTCAGAAGCAAGAAAGGGGGCGCTGTAATGTGGTAGCTGTCAACACTATCTGTAGCCACAGACGTAAGATGGACAGACTTCTGAGTTACGCTTCCTGTTTGGCGTTGCCGTTTTGTGTTGTATGGTTTTTCATATAACAACACTTTCAAACATCTGGAAGACAGATGAGGTTGGGCAGTCAATGGTTTGGAAAATTAATCTGAAAATAAAAATGTAAATGCTACACAGTTGTTCTCTTTCTGATGGTTTTGAACCATGATAATTCAGGACTTGATGTTCTGATTTGGAATCTTCCACCATTAATAGTGACTTTGTCGGTCTGGAGAGATGGCTCAGTGGTTAAGAGCACTATCTGCTCTTCCAAAGGACCTGGGTTCAATTCCTAGCACCCACATGGCAGTTCACAACTGTCTGTAATGCCAATTCCAAGGGATCTGACACCTTCACACTAATGCACATATAAAATAAAATTAAACAAATTATTAAAAAAAAATCATGACTTTGTCTTGCTGATGAGAAAGGCCTTAAGGAACTATTCTGTTCACTCAAAAGAGGTCACTCAAAAGAGGCTCCAGGCCTTTGGAGTTAGTTAGCTCACCCAATGCTGGCTGATAGAAGTCTACTCAGTCATGTTCATTCAATAGTATCACTACAAAAAGATTAAATCTGGGCCTACAGAGATGGACGACTCAACAGTTCAAAGCATTTGCTGGTCTTCCAGAGGATCTGAGTTCACTTCCCAGCACCCAGGTTGCTCACAACTGTAACTCCACTTATGTTCACATACATACACGAAAACAAACACACACATATACATAATAAAAAGAATTAAAAATAAATTCTTAAAAGGAATTAAATCTGCACAACCCTTGAATAATGGGCTCAAGGGGAGGGCAGCAAAGGCCTTAAGAAGTACATGCTTAACTTTGAATGAGAGATTGTCTGAAAGTCAATGCTATGCAAGAACAAAAACAAAAACAAATCCTACAGCTGACTATAACACCAAAGAGGTCTTTAATATTTTTTTGCTAGTATTTAAAAATATGGTGTTTAGAAAGAGTGAAAAAAAATTTATTTATAATCACATAATGTGGGGTTGGGAAAGACTTTCAAGTGCCAATCAAAACTACTGTAGCCAAAGAAACAATTTCTTTCTTTTGTCTTGGTTCACTGAAGTGCCCATCTGAACCCAGCCTCGGAAGGAAGGAGAACACTGTGCTCCGTATTCAGAGCTGCAGAGACTAAGGCTTAGATGGTATTTACCCCAGGTCATGTAGTTATGAAAACAGTGACAGAACAAAGATGGCACCTCTTCCGATGTCAGTGCACACTTCTAAGATACGGCCTCTCCTCATAGGGGAGTCATTTACAGAGAATGCTCATTCTTTTAAAAGGATTACAGCAGTTCTTTAATGCACGCAATTTTTAAGGAAATCTAAGTGAGGCGTTCCAAAGGGCTAGAAACAATGTTCTCCCCCAGTTAAGCATAATACAAAAGCAAAACGAATCAAAACAAAACAAAGGCATGATGCCGAAAGCTGGGAACAAAAGCATTAATTTTAATTCCTCTTACTGGATAGCTTCCTCACAGGTCTTTTGACTGTAACAGTGGGATGAAGGAAGGGTTTGGGCCCCATTCCAAATATGCATATAACTGAGCCAAAAATACTTCAAGGTATATCTTTGCTCTTGCTGTGTTTCTAACTGTAAAGCTGAAACCAGCGAGAAAGTGACTCAAAGAACAAACTGAGCCAACAATAGAACAGAAAAAAGGAATCAAGAGTCGTGTGTTTGACCCACAGGCCTCTCTCTTCCGGCTTAGCTTGCGTTTCGCTCTGATCTGGGAACAGGAAGCTGGAAGAAAAGAGCCTGCCTGTGAGCAGCACCTGTGGCTGGTGAGAAGGTGTGTGTGCCTAGGCTGTGTTTGGGTATAGTCAGTGTGTGTGTGAGACAGGCTGAAGGGAAAGCCAGGGATGAATGAGAAGATGCACAAGGGCAAACCAAACTTCAGGAAGTGGAGACAGTGGAGATAGAAGCCAGAGTCCCCCAGTGTCCTCAAGAACTTCCTTTTTACCATGTTTATGTAGTGCTGAGTGCTGCAGTCTAAAACTATAGATGCTATTCTATCATCTTCATGTCACGGGATAGGATAGGATAGGACAGGACAGGACAGGACAGGACAGGACAGGCTAGGCTAGGGTAGACGAGGAAAGAATAGGACAGAATAGAGAGGGACAGAGTTGGACAGTTCCTACTGATGCCCTGACCATTGTGTGTGGTATTCCCTCTGTGCCTGCCCAGGGAGTACACTCGGAAAGGACGTCATGCTGAAGCAGTCGACATACTGAAAGCCTAAATTCGTCTACATTCTAAAGTAACAAATTATTAAAATTGCAATTTGGAGTTTACATGTAACGGTAGGTTCCGATAGACCAGCCTGAATGTGAAGCCCCATTCGTAGCACGGAGCACCTTCACACGAGAAAGTATTGGGGTGTCGAAGGAGGGGTGTGGTTCCAGGAGACCAAGGAATAGTTGTGGTAAAGTGGCGAAGAAATAGGAACTGAGAAAATCAAGAGGGCACCGTGATGGTGGCAGGTTTTACTAGGAAGAAGTCGTGTATTGGTCCCAGTTTAGGAGGGCCAGCAGAGGCGCAATGCGATGGAATGCAAACCGCACATGTACTTAAAAAATGACCTGAGAGCCGCATCAAAACTGGGAAAGGAAGTAAGTAATATTAATTTTAGTAATTGCTGCACCTAATGTAATATGCCCAAAGATTAGCATTTCAATACGAGGGTAAAAATTGGTAAGAGGAGGGGTGGAGGGGCTCAGTGGACACAGTGCTTGCTGTATTAGCATGACAGCTGGAGTTCAGATCTCCAGAGCTCACTGTATGTGGCTGAGTGTGACAGCCCAGGCTAAAGCCCCAGTGCTGAGGGGCCAGGGACAGGCAGATCCCTGGACTGCACTGACCAGCGAGTCTGAGGGCAGAGCTGCAAACTCGGCAAGCGTCCCTGTCTCAGAGAATAAGGTGGACACAGATGAAGTCACCGATGTTTACTGCTAACCTCCACACACATAGGCGTGCTTACACGTACACCTACACACACATGAACACATACACACACACACGAACACACACACACAGTTATTATGGAGGGACTTTGCCTTATGTCTGTCCTGTCTTGGAATGTGCGTGCACTTTTCTCCCTTGGCATGTTTCCATTCCCACATCTCAAGCGCTTGG